ATCCATATCTCAAGTAGGACTCCTGGTATAGTCTGTTAAATGCTTTTTTTTTTTTCTTGCAAGTGGGATCTTCTGTTTCTTCACTGGCCCTTTTCCCCGTCGTAAAAAAACTTTCTAAAGATAACTGTTTCTTACTCATTTTGACTGTTTATTACTCCGTTTTGGCGCACAAGAAAACCGAGAGAATCCGGTTAAAGGTTTTTCAAAATAAAAGCTCCCTCAGACTCCGATAATATATAAAGTGGATATATTTAATTATTTTTACCACGGCCCGGTACCAATTGGTCCACGGACCGGTACCGGTCCCCGGGATTGGGGACCACTGCATTAAAGTCAAACTCCTGTTTGTTTGAATTTCTAAATTCTGGTCTGTTTTTAGATTTTCATGCCTAGAACATATTCTCCACATTCAATGTACACAAAGTAAAAAGCATTTCTCGTCTGAAACTTACAACTGCAGCCCAACTACTACACCAACCCGACGTTGGTCCACCATAATCTATATAGCATCTTCCAGAATATGAAAACTTCTAGAAGTCCTTCCTTCATCAACCATGCATGATAAAATCCCTTCTAATGAAGTTTCGGGATTAAAAGACCAACATTTTAGCACGAGCTGCTTTTAAAGTTCCGTCTGAGACATCCTTTAACGTGATTCTTGAAGCATTAAAGATTTTAAAACTGCATACTTTGACTCTATAGCTTTAGCCGCAATTAGCTGGCATGAAAAAAAAAATCATGCCCTCCTCTCTGCTTAGCACAGCCCACATCGGCTGTGCTCGGATGTGTTGTTCTTTTGCAGCTAGCCGCTTCTTCTTTGTGTCGCTTTTTCTTTTATTACTCTGCCCATTGTCTCAGTACAAAAGCAACGGCTGGGACGAGCGTTAGCTTTAAGCTAGCGACGGCTATCAAACTATTGGTATCCGACAACCACAAGGCCTCCATAGCGTTGCATATAAGAAGGCAGACTCAGTCACAGCCTATAGACGGGACCGCGCGCCGTCACTAACATCTGCAGCGGCGCGACGCTCACCTTACGGACGCGGCGTTTCAGTATGGCTTCCGCCGCAAAAATGCGATCTCCCGCCGCAGAGAGCTCCATGCTTGCTCGGCCCAACTAAGCTGCCTGGTATCGGTTTGTTTCTGTAAAGTCGGTGAGCTCCGCTGTGTCTGCTGTAGTATAAGACCAACTGCGAGGGGAACACACACACATACACACGCGCGCGTAACAGCACGCGCATTGTCAGTGTGTGTGTGTGTGTGTGTGTGTGTGTGTGTGTGTGTGTGTGTGTGTTGAGCAGAAACAGCAGCGGCTCCACGGCCAACCCAAGTCACATGTACGGGGGTCATCTTTGGTCGCCACGACAACTGACCCGCGAAGACCTGGAGGATGCGAAGAACCGCGAGCGGCTCGGAGCGCTAAAACACGCTTACGTTTAGGGATCAATACTTTCTCTATTGAAAGAACAGTGTTGCCTTCAGAGCGGCTTCACAACGTATGTTAAAGTCTTTCCAGCTGATTTTATTATCTGTTTTTGTTAGAAAAAAACCCAACAAATAAATTTTAAATAGCCTTGGCTGGGCGTTAGTTGCAGATAATAGTTTTTCATGCAAGACTAAACACATTTCTAGCTTTCACACAGCACGTTTCAGCAACACGCAACGTAACATTATTGTACTGTTGTCTGTAGGGGAAATTTGCCTTGCAGTCTGGTGAAGAATATATACTACACAATCACTCTACAACAGTGTTTAAAATGCTAGCCAACATTGTGTTTGTATTTCTTCCTCTTCACAAATCACTCAGAAACAATAATAAAATCCATTGAAGTTCAACAGGAATGAGTATTTCTTTTTCAAGCCACTATGAAGTCATACTGTGAATTTTTAATCTTTAATATCCAGGTACCCTGCAAAACAGAAAATCTCACTAAGTAAATTTGGTCTACTTTTTATTGAGAATATCTTTGTACACTTGAAGACAAAGCTAACTGACAAGTAACTTTTTAACATGATAGCAACTTGCTTTAAGTCAATAATTCCTTCATATTGATGAAGAAGTATGTGCTAAAAGTTAAATAATTTGCTAGTAGAATAATACATTGTGACTTATAATATGGGAAAAATGGCTCAATCCACTGAGTGGTTTGTTCATAAAACATATGCACATATAATATACATGCATTAATATAGGTGAACACAACACTATTTTTCTAAGAAATATTTGATTATAGAAAAAAGTAAAAGCTCAAACAGTATTTAGTGAATGTTTTGCAGGATATTTGATCTATTACATATTTCTGCTCAAACTATTTAAGGATCTGTCTGTGAGTAGCAAGTAACCAAAGCTGCCATTGTACTGTTTTTATTGGTGGAAATTCACAAGAAAGTAATTAATACTTGACTTTCCTCCTTTTATGCAAGTCTATAAACTTCCATTGATCGCACTTTGCATTTAAGGCTTATAAAGTTTTACCCAAAATGAGTAGCAATTGTTTAGGGCGTTTGCTTCTTTTTGCGCTTTTGTTTTTGAAGAAGTAATCCAGGGTTTAGCCATATTAATAATTTAATCTAAAATCTGAATACCATAGAAAGATAATACTTTACTCTGAAACTCAGAATAACACCAATTCTTTATTCGTCTTCTACCCTCTGGTGGAAGATATAAGTATTGCAAGTGGTTAGTGCCAATTCTTGTTTTATTCAAGGGCTCATTTTGCCTTTGCAGGTGATTAATGCATTATTCATAAATGCAACAATTTAACAATATTATTGGCATAAATGTAAGTCAATGTGACCAGACCAATATAACTTAATTTAGCTCTGACTACTAAAATAAATAAATTTTCATAAGAAAGTCTTGTCAAATTCAACAGATAATTTTATAATTAATTTATAGTTGTTATAATTTGTAGGTTTCTATGTAAAGATATATGACTTAATATCTTAAGTAGTAGGGTTTTTTTGTTTTATCAGATGTGTTTCAAGGGTTAGCATATCTGTTTTATTTATTTTGTGTTCACATATTTAATACAACAAAATAAATCAGACAATGATTTACAAAATTAAAAATAATTTATTCGGAATGTCACAATTATGGCTATTTTAAATATAATTAAATGGTATAACATTGATATGTTTGGATAATATGATTAAATATAAGTTAATTTAGATTAAAATACACTAAAATAAATAAATTTCTATTAGAATTTGAACTCATTACCATTGTAAATAGTTAATAAATAATATAATGAAAATCATTTAATTTGTAGACTTAGGAAAAAGGACGTTGTAGGAAACATTTTTAATAGAGTATAACTGAATAAAAATTATATATAATAATAATTTTTACAAGTTAAGTAATAAAAAAGAAAACTAAATATTACTTTATAATTTTACATTTAACAGCTATATATGACTGTAAACAAGTTAAATCTGCAGGATTTTTATCTAAAGACTAAGGCGGGGCATCGGGGCAGTTAGACCTACATCCATTATGATCACTGATGCGTCCCGTAGATTAACACGTTCTCCCTTTTTTCGCTTCCCTCAGTGAAACGAACCGGAGCGTCTCCTTCAACCAGGTCCCGCCCACCTTGTCTAGTGCGTCTAAATCCTGCGCTCTGATTGGACAAGCTCGCGTCAATCAAGAGCAGGTTTGGTTGCGGCGTCGGTTGTTGATGTCGCTGTCAAAAGTCAGGCTGTCCGCCACACTGAGAGCAGCTAGCAGGTAAGCTCGCTGGTTTTAAACCAGTTTAATGCGATTAGCAGCAACTGACAACTAAATATCCGAATTGTCTTTACACTGCGATTATTAAAGAGCTTCAAATCAGAAACATGGAGGACAGAAGTGTGGTTTCTACAAAGCGTAGCGCTGGTATGCGCTCTTTATATGATAATAGACTCAGGAAATACCTGAACATCATTGGTGGAGCTGTTTGTTCAACATCCAGACAATGAGCAGCTGTATTTGTATTTAGTCTTCATAGAAAACTGAAGGTCACAGACCCAGACGGCGCTGTTAACAGCTAAAGTCAGCCCTACTGGTTAAACCACCAAACACAACATTGGAAATCAATTGTGTTTGTACATGTAGAGCGCTTCTATTCTTAGAAAGGGTGTAACTGCACAGCAAAAGTAGCAACATAATGAAAGTATCTGCTGAAAAAAAAACAAAAAAAACTTGTTGCTCCACTTAAATGGTGACATCACTTCCCAGTGGACTAAATAAATCATTCATTCATGCTGACAGGAATCTGACAGGCGTTCCTGGAGAAAACAGAGCTGCTCTAGTAAACACAGGGATGCGGGTTTAACACACATTGTACGTCAGAGATCACAGATGTGCTCTGGTTAATCGTGCTCCCTGTTTTAAGGTAGCGATGCAGTTCCTGGGCCGGCTGCTGGACACCGTCTCCTCCGTGTCGACCCTCTTCACCAACCCTTACCGGGTCAGAGACGTCCAGCTGTCTGATTATGGAGGAGGAGGCAAAGTTCGGCTGAAGGAGGACGGACGCATGGTCCTGTACAAAAACACACAATGCCAGTCATGGGACTGCGTGCTCCTGTCCCCCGAAACGCCCACTGTGGCCCTGAGGTCAGTATGGATCACGCTGTAGAAAGTTAAAGTCCGTCTCAAAAGTTCTTTTTTTGTAAAGTTTTTCTCAACTTTGTTTGTTTTTTATTTATTTTTGGTTACCTTTGACCACCATTGTTAAGCACGTCTATAGTTTTCTCTCTCATGTAGACTAAAACCTGAAAAACAGGTCATGAACATTTTGAGATGACCTCAGCTGCTTCAAATCCCGTAGAGCAAGTTAAGGAATATTCTGTCCAATGTGTATTTTTCCTAGAGTTACTCGTGGAATTTATTGTGTGTTTTTCTGAATTTTTATAAAGCTACTCCTAAACGTGAACTGCCTGAGGTTTAAAACGCCAAATATTGTGATATGTAATTGTATACAAAACATCCATGAAGTGCTTTGCTAAAATATTCCCATGCAAACACAATGTTATAAACACACATCTCATCTCAAAATGGTATCTTATGTTGAGTATTATACATAATCACAATGTAATACTTTGACCTTTTTGAATTCTGCACCTCAAATTAAACCAAAACTAAAACTACTACTATAACTAATCAAAGCTAAACTAAAACAAAACAATGGTAACAACTAGCAAACACACTAAAACTATTACAAGCCTGTTTTTCTGCCCCTTTTTCTCGAATACCCCTAAATAAAACAGTCATATTTTTATTTCCTAATTATGTTAAGTCATGCTTTATTTTACTTCCCATTCACAGTCACACACTCTGTTATGTTGGTCTATTGCATAAAATCCCAATAAAATAAAAATAAAAATAAGACGTGAAAATATTCAAAAGCTGCATTTAGCAGAGAAAAGAAAAGGTGTTTCTGCCATTCATAGAAATCAAACTGGTTAGGTTCACCGCATTTCTACGGGGCAAAGTTCAGTTTCTCCTTTCACTTCTTGGAAACGTTTGGGCTCACCGCTGCGCCGTCCGCAGGCTGTTTCAGGTGGGGTCAGAGGAGGATGCCATGAACTGGTTCCCGCAGTTCGCCCTCAAGCTGCGACCTTTCTACGAGAGTCTGACCCTGAAGGCCGACACGGTGCAGACCATCGTGGACTGCATCCGCAACCATCCTGACTGGAGCTCTGCTCACATCGCCGTGGAGACGGGCATGAGAGAGTGCCTCAAACACAACTACGTTCAGAGGTAGCTAACCGAGCACAAAACTGTGAAAATGACAAAGTAATCAAATGTTATTTGACACCACAATTTACAGATTGTACTCTTCCAAAAACTAACAGGTTCAGTCTACCCAGATAAACTAAAGATTTGTAAGCTTCCTTCTTTCCAAAGGTAACAGAAGTCAGCACGGGCCACTCCAGCTAACAGGCGTTCGATGCCATTAAGGATTTAAAACGCCTTGAAAATGTCAAAATCAATGACGAGTTATTGTTAAAAGCTTGAAGCCCATTAGCCTCTTAATGCATTCACAACACTGTTACTTTCTTCGACTAACTCCTAAATGCCTGCTTTATGCATCATGAAAAGAAAATATAAATATTCTGTTTGTACTTTTGGAAACTTTCTGTTTAGTTTCCCAAAGTTCAAACTAGTAGACTGACAAAGATTCTCTGCATGTTCAAAGCTCTGCTCGTCGGTCTGTGCAGTACGCCGTTAAAACACAAGCCAGCCATAAACCTAAAAGCTCGGCCAGCCGTTGTTTCTCTGTGGATGTAACTGGAACCTCCTGGGAGCCTGTTCTTAACAGCCAGCGTAGCTGTTTAGTAAGTCATTCTTCGATGTTGTGCTTTAAAATGTCAAACCTCCTACGATTTCTGCTCTCAGCCAGATCAACGCGCGGGACGCGTCGGGCCAGACGCCTCTGCACCTGGCGTGCGAACGGGGCGACCTGGCGTGCGTGAAGGAGCTGCTGGACGAGAGCCAGGCCCGCACCGACATCAGGGACCAGAAAGGAGAAACCCCCATGCACTACGCCTCCAAGCAGGAGTCTCCCGTCATCATTCAGGTGAGACCTGAACGACGCCCAGGTCAAAGGGCGCTTAAAGTCCGAAGCGGGGAGGGGAGGGGGGGGGTTTGTGCTGATGATTGATGACTTTTGGTTTTGTTCAGCTATTAAATGTGTTTCGGGAGCAAATACTGAAAAACATCCTGAATATTTAAGGTCAAACCGATGCCCTGAATCTCTTGACAGCATGGTGTCGTGTTGCTTTCCCACTCGGGATACGTAGCTGTCGGCGACGGCGATTCACACCTGGGAAAATGTGAAGCTGAAGCCTGCAGCGGCCTGTCACAAATAATCACGCCTGACTTGTTGTGGGAAGAGTTCTGCAGGTCAAGGGGCGCGTTAGTCTTACTGGAAAACGTATTTTGAAACGGGCTCCTAGTAATTGTACATTTTTTCAAAGTATTTGGACAAGTGCACACAGGCTGTGAGTCTGGGAGAGATTATTTGTAGCTAGAGAAAGCCGACAGAATTGAAGAAGATTCAATGTAAGCTGTAACTATGTAAGCTGGAAAACCAGAGATCCTGTTTAAAAAGAAGCTGCATTTTATACTAAATGTTGATACGACGGGTGCACAGATTGGACACGCACAATGTGACCTCAGCATCTAAAATAAATAAGTCATGACAACTCAGGGGCAGGGAGACTCGGAAAAATATTTAAATACAGCTCTTAGTTCTCCCAATAAATTAGCTCTTGAAAAGGAATCAGAATTGGCTTAAATCTGTATCAGAGGGTCAACGGTTTAGAAAAACTGGAGATCGGGTTGGTTGTTGCTCTGATATCACTAAAAGTGCTAATTAAATAATTCTTTACAACCTATAAATACGCAATATTCCTTTTCTTTTTTTTTAACGTAACTTTCCTGTCCAGGCTCTGTGCTCACGGCTGTGCTCAGGGGTGAACGAGCTCAACAGCAACGGAGAGACGCCGCTCCATGTGGCCTGCCGTCTGGGCCGGGTGGAGTCCGTCAAAGCCCTGCTGGAGGGGGGGGCCAAGTGCGACACCAGGGGCAGCACAGGAAACCCCATCCACACCGCCATGAAATACAGCGAGAAGGGGTGAGTTTACAAGCAGCTATGAAAAGAACAAGCTGGAGCCGTCTCCCTCTCTCTCTCTCTCCCTCTCTCTCTCTCCCTCTCTCTCTCTCTTTCTCTCTCTCTTTTTTTTTTCCTCTCTGCGCTACAAGGAGCTACATTGTCTCCAGGAAGGAAGTGGCTCCGTTTGTTGTTCCTGTGACCTGCAGACTAATTAAATCAGTGTTTATGATTCGTTTTGTGCTTTGCAGTAATTGTGTATGAAACATCATTATAAAACAGCCTTACACACGCATGAAACAGTGTTTCAGCTAAAATGAAACTTTGACAAACCTGCTTAATCCCAGTGAAGATGCCATCAGCATCAGAAATTATAAATGATTCAGTTTATCTAATGCGAGGTTGTTCATGCGGTGTGCTTGTTTGTCAGCTGCGTGGAGCAGATCCTCAAAGCGGATCCGTTCCAGCTGCAGGCCGAGGACTGCGTGTACGGAGGGACGCCGCTGCACTGGGCCAAAACTGCCGAGGTACACACTTGTGCACGCTCTCAAACTGTTAATGTTATTAATTAATCGCATGATCAATTACAATGAGCCCCATAATTTACATTCTGATGGTTAATATTGTTTGAAAAGGCAGCTTTGTTTACAGAGACTCAGTGTGGTTCAGCTGTGTGTTCGTTTCTGTTTATTGCTTTTGGTTGTCATGTTTTAATTTGGATATTTAAAATACCTTCTAGATTCCATGTTAAATATTCTTAATGAAATTAATGCACCGATTAACTTTTTTTCATTTCCAATACCGATATCTGAGGTTCATTATCGGCTGGTACCGATCCGATACAGATAAACTGAGCTGGGTCCACTTGAAACGTTGCTTTTTATTTTTTTTTAATTACAGACATAAATGTACTGAATTACAAATGTATTTGATAACTCTGCTCCAGAACAGCACACTAAAATACACCATTAGCTTTAAGAGGCATGTCTTTACATGTTGAACATGTAAAAACAACACAACTGGGGCAGTTATGATCAGGCACATTGTCACAGATACCCCATCTAGAATTTTTTTCAGTATCAGGACCGTTACAGATATTAATAGTGGACTGGTGCGTTTCTATTCATTAGTCTTTACGAGGGCGAACATGCAATATTATGGCATTACTGATACATCACTTGGAAATGGACTCAAAACGACAATATTATCGTTTATCGCAATAATTACAGGGCCAATTTATCGTCCAGCGAAACGTGTTATTGTGACAGGCCTGTTAGATGACCTGAGCTGATGGCAGGAAGCTGCGTTGTTGATTCATTTAAAGCTTTAAATGAACCAACTTCCCCATTAAGCTTTAAATGAAACTTTAAACTTCAAACTAAACTTAAAATGAAGAAGGAAGGTTGTCCATTTTGCTTCCTCTCTGCCAGATGTGCCGCCTGCTGCTGGACCGCGGCTGTGAGATAAACTACCTCAGTAAGACTGGTGAGAGCGCCCTCCACGTTCTGACCAAGAAGGGCCGCTTTGAGGCCGCCATGGTGCTGCTGACCCACGGGGCCAACGCCAACCTGAAGGGCCAGGACGGAAACACGGCCCTGCACCTCGCTATGAAGGTGAGGATACGCTTGCTCATCGTTTTATGGGGTCAAAACGACACTATCTCATGTAGAGTTTATTGAAATGAATAAATAAAACTTTTAAGTGATGGCGATCTATAATGGCAAAATGATTTCCACAGTGATTTATTATTAAAATACTTCATATTTAATGTTTTGATGCCGTTTACTGCATCAGAACTGTAGTTTATTTCTAAAACTATTTTTATTTTTGTGTCTGTTCTCACTAGATGGACCACATGGAGCTGATTAAAGGTTTGATCGTGTTTGGCGCCGATGTTGAGATCCACAACGACCTGGGAGAAACACCGGGGCTGATCGCAGCTCGCACCAGCAAAGGTGGGAGAGATCGAATGTTAAACCGCGACCGCTGCTAGAACGGTTTGTTTAAAAAAAAAAAAATCTAATAAAGTAAGTTATTATTTTTAAACTAAGACTTAAAAGCATGTGTTGCAGTGTAAATAACAGAGATGTGCATGTTCACAAGTGAAAATGTCCAGGAAAGGCTACGTTAAAATTCTGTATTTTAAAGTGTAATTTTTGTTTTTATTAATTAATCTTTAGAGGAATAAAAAGAGGAATTTTTTTTCACAGTTTAGTGTAAAACTACCCCTCAGTTTTGTGTTGACATTCAGTGTGGTACTTAAAAAGAGTTCATGATGTGATGAACTACTTAAAAATTTGAGCTTTTAAGTTGCTCATCACTTTATTTTTAATCCATGACGCCTTGGTCTGGTCAGAAATTTCAGTTAATTGGACTATTGTTCATTGTTTTTTTTATAAAAACAATCAAAATAAATTGATCTGATGATTCTTAAAAATACATAGAAATCACTATTTTACTCTGAGTTCCTTCGTTTCTCAGTGTGAAAAAAAAATCTGGTTTGAAGAACCATTTCTGTGGACAGCCAGTGTGTGGAAATTAATTTGCTTATATTTCAAAAATAGAACAATTGTAGAGCAGATTCTGTGTAAACATGTCTATGCAAAAATGTTGAGAAGACATTAAGGACATTTAAACTGTTAAAATACCAACAGATATTATACCAAAAGTTGAAATGCTTACCGAAAGATTGCATCTCTTAGATGATGCACAAATTATTATTATTATATTATTAGTAGTAGTAATAGTAGTATTTTTTTCAAAGTGGATCTGTTGTTGACATAGAGAAGTTTCCAGTAAATTCTGATTTTGTTCTGAGAGGAAAATGATGCTTAATTGAGTTTCCTGTCATTTATTGATTTTTTTGTCGTTTTTTTGAAGATGCATGACGATTGCTAACCGTCTGCACATCTCTCTGCTTACTCTCCTCCCTCCTCTCTCTCTGTCTGTTACGTATCTCTCCATCTCTCTCTCTCTCTCTGTCTGTCTGTCCTGTGTTCGTGGCATGCCTGCATGCCCGCCATGTCGGCTTGTGTTTTGTACTAACCTGAAAGGTCCTAATAGAAGGATCCTGCTGGACATGCTGTGTAGTGTAGGAGTCCAGCGCTGCCTTCCTCGCTCCCCCAGCAGCCCTCCTCCTCTTCCTCCTCCTCCAGTCTCAAACAAGACCAAGCCTCGAGCCATAGGTAACGCCAGGACCCTGAGAAGACCCGTTTGTTTCAGGAGCTTTAGCATCAAATGAGTCACATTTTGATCAGGGGTGTTCAGGGTTTCCCCCCAGAGATCTGCCTAAGCCCAGCAGGTCTAAACTTTGCTTAACCTTTCTTTGCCATCACCGTGACTGGTGTAAATAATAATAATAAAAACAAAAATTAAAATGAGTAAATGATGCTTAGCCTGGTGGGAGGGAGGCAAATAAAGCCTGGTGACCTGCGAGGCTTATAATGCCGTGGGGGAAACTCTGAAACTTATTTTCATTTCACATCGAGGTCATAAATGTTCACAAAGGGCCCGTGGTGGCAGAAAATATTGATAAAATCTATCGAAAAATTGCAAAAAATATGAATAAGTAGCTAACTCTGTATTCATGAGTACTTGTTAAAATTAAATTATATTGAGCATCTTTTCACGTTGATGTAATTTGGCAGTAAACAGATAAAACCTGCTTTGATTTGGTTGGTAAAACAGTATTTTAGCATAGAGTTGTTAACTTGAAGGTTGCATTTATGTGGCCCTTTAGATCAGAGGGCCACATGAAAAGCTACGGCGGGCCAGTTTTGGCCCTCAGGCCTTGAGTTTGACACGTGGATTATATAGATCAGTTACATACAACTGGATCTCTGAAAGCCTTTATTTCTGTTAATTATGAGGATTTTCCACTTACAGCTAATGAAAAAATGTTTTTTTAACATTAGAATATTACAACAGAACAATAAAAATATTACTAAAAAGTAAATTTGAGCTAAATGAAACTCATATTTTATTATTTTCAAGCGGTACCTTTAATCTGACAAATGGGCCTCTTATTATTCCATTTATCGAATATGACTGTATTTACATTAAGGCATTGCTTGCAATTTTTTGAGTGCTCTGAAATTATATAAACTAATTTATTTTCAGTACAAATGCAGCATCAAGATGGGTAATTTGCTATTTTAAAGTGATTCTAAATATATACTTGATGTTTCTTTTCAAATGGCTTCATAGCTTTTAGAAATCTCAGTCTCCTCTTCGCCTTTTTATCATTTTAACACCACGTATTGATCAGGTTTTATCACTGTTTTACAGGGTTTGAGGACATTATGTACGTCGGGGCTGCAATAGGAGCAATTGGCAAATCTGAAATTGATGGACAAGTGATGGAGAAAAAGAAGTAAGTGTGTGAAATATTTGCTGAGAGCGTAAATGTATTTAATTTCTTTAATTCTGGATGATCGGCTAATACTTGCATGAGAAACCGATCCTCTCCACCTCTGAATATCGGCCCTTTGTTCTGTTGTGAGCAACTTTTAAAAAAGAATCAGCAAAAGTCAGAATCAGCAGGTCAGACTTTTTCAATATGAGTGATTGGTCAGAAAACTGCAATCTGTGCATCCCTTACTCTGTTGTTTTGTTCTAATTTGTGTTGATCTGCTATTTGAGGTTATAAGCTGATGAAATGTGCAAAATTTAAAGGAGTATAAGTGGGAACATTTTTCTAAGTTTACACAATACATTTCCTTCAGTTCTTCTACCTTTAATGTTATTGCGTCTTGTCATTTATCTAATTTATTTGTAATTTTCTGTAAGGGTTAACAGTATTTAATCCAAATCTGACTGCAGGATAGACAGACTGCTGTGTCTGGACGGTGGCGGTATCAAAGGCCTGGTTCTGATCCAGATGCTGATCGCCCTGGAGAAGGAGGCGGGTCGGCCGACCAGGGAGCTCTTCGACTGGGTCGCTGGGACGAGCACCGGAGGCATCCTGGCTTTAGCAATAATCCACGGTGTGTTTTCGCTTTTCTAACCTGTGTGTGTGTGTGTGTGTGTAGGTGTGCGTGTGCGTGTGTGTGTGTGTGTGCGTGCGTGTGTGTGCCACCAGAGCTAAAGGGTTGTGTCCTATGTGTGAAGGTAAGTCCATGGAGTACCTGCGCTGCCTGTACTTCAGAATGAAGGAGCAGGTGTTCAGAGGGTCCAGGCCGTACGAATCCGCACCGCTGGAGGACTTCCTGAAGAAAGAGTTTGGAGAGAACACAAAGATGACGGACATCAGATTCCCAAGGTTTCCTTCACATTGTGGCATTAAAAGGAACATTTCAAAACAAGCACTAGAAATAATAAAAAGTTGTTGTAAAGCAAAAAGTGATAAAATGCTTTAATTCACCAGAACAGCTATTACAGACATGGGTAAATGTGTTGGTACTTCCTCCATGTTAAATAAAACATAAATATCCCAGAAAGAAGTTCAAGTTCACAAATTAGTGATATCGCTTTTTCTGAATTAACACAAAACAGATTTTGTTTTATTCATTAATTCAGATGAATTTTTTATAAAAAAAAAAAAAAACCTGATTATAATCCCATAAACTTTAGTGATAGTCAGCATGCATTATGGGAAATTTGAGACAAACTCAAATGGGAAATTTGAGTTTGTCTTACTTCCATCAATAGCGGATGAGTCATCTATGAGATGACTCATAGATGACTCAGTCATCTGACTCATCGTTATCTATGAGTCATCTCATGGAGATGACTCATCTCCATGAGATGACTATGAGTTAACATGTGACAGATCTGTCACTGTCAGATCCTAAAACTTAAATTGTTTTTGATGATTTTCTTTTATGTGTTTCAAATAATTAGCATGATCCAAACGACGACACCAAACTACCCACCCACATGTTTGCTCTCTTTAATAAGGCTGAATGCCTCAAAGGACTCTGTGATGCTAACTATAGTTAGCATTAATGTAACAGTCATTAAATAAAAAGAGTCCAAAGAAATATCAGTAAATTTGTTCATACTTTATATGTAAAATAAACAAATTATCTCAGCATAATTTCCTTGCTTACTTAGTCATGCACTAAAAGTACAAAAGTAAATTCAGTCATTATCTCAGTTCTTAGAGATCTGTTCTCATAATTGAATAAATCTTCTTCTCCTCTACCAGCATCTTAGCCATCCTTTCTCCATTTCTCCATTTCTCCATTTTCTGTCCGTCTGTCCAGGGTCATGGTGACCAGCGTTCTGGCCGACAGACATCCAGGTGAGCTCCATATCTTCAGGAACTATGACCCTCCGTCTGTCCGCAGAGAGCCCTCCTACACCACCACCGCCACCTTCAAGCCTCTCACCATCCCACAAGGTACCCACCAGACTTTAAATGTAGCTTACCGCACTCATTTTATATATGTGGACCTTGCGCACCACTAGATGGCGACAAAGTGAGCAGTTCTCCCACAGACTCCTTTTTTTTTCCCCATGTCATTTTTCTAAATGAATGAAGAAATGCAGTTGTTCTGTTTGAGTGGCAGCCATGTTGTTGTTGCAGGGTGGGAGGATGAGGATGTGTTGATAGTAGGATACACAGATGAGCCGCCCAGAAAGCGTAGGAAGGTGACAGATGAAGGTGTGTAGGACAAAGTCCAGTCATAAAATTGTTCAAAACGAAAAGCCTAAAATATCTTGAAATGTTCCTCATTTAGGTCTTAATATTAGATTAGGCATCCCTTTTTTTTCATATCTGTAAATTAAAGTGCTGTTACTAACATGACGTGTGTAAAGAAGTTTATATTCTTAAACATGCAGGAAGCTGAAGCTGCTTTTAATGAAGTGGCTTAAAACTGCTGCCATCAGGTTGTTCAAGCCATCCTATAAAATGGTGATATGCATCTGGAAAATATACAATACCACCCCTTTAAGTATTTTGAGATAAATCTAGTGAAGAAAGAGCATAGTCATAACAGAGATTTAACAGTTTTGTTTTGTCTTATTTTGTATTTTCTCAACAGTTCCTAAATTTATTTAGGAAAAAGTAACTCAAAGACCAAAAACCCACTGAACTCACTCACGTTCTTCGTCAGACTGGGATTAATTCAGTCTGTTAATCCCAATAGGATGTGAATTAAAAACAAATGAAAAAGAAATATTGTAAAATGGCATGGAAGAAAAACGTTACGGTAAAACCTCAAGATCACAGCAGAAACCTAAATGAGTCTTACTTTAGTCGTGTGCTGGCCCTTTCTGAGCTCATCTGTTTTCCCAGAGCAAACCTTAAACCTAAAAGCATCAAACGTCTTCACCTTGACATAATCTGTGTCTTTACGTCAGAACAACTCATATGGAGAGCCGCCCGCTCCAGCGGCGCCGCACCCACCTACTTCCGACCAATGGGCCGCTTCCTGGACGGAGGGCTGTTGGCCAATAACCCAACGCTAGACGCCATGGCAGAAATCCATCAGTTCAACAAGTCATTAAAAGCTGAGGTAGCAGATTTGCATGCTTTGCATTGTTGACTCATCCGTAAAGCTGCACTGAGCTGTTCTACAGATCTGTGTTGTCTTTCTCAGGGTCGTGAAGCAAACATCAAGAAACTGGGCATAGTTGTTTCTCTTGGAACAGGTGGGTCTAACAGAAAACTACAGCTGATGTGACTGAAAGTCATTTACATTCATCATGCACATCTGAAAATGCTGTTTCAAATGCAAAATATGTGGTTTAGTTACCTGCCTTTGTGTCCACTTAGTGTGGGGTCTAATTGTCTCATCGTACGCTCAGAGACTTAATACCTGCAAATAAATTTCTATGAAATACAACTTGCTTTCAGTTCCGTTTTCACACGAACAGCAGTCAGGGGTTTTGTGGTTTCTGGGTGAAGTCACTGGTGATGTCGTATCTTTCCAGGCAAACCTCCACAGGAAGTGGTGACCTCCGTGGACGTTTTCCGACCCTCTAACCCTCTGGAGCTGGCCAAGACGTTCGTAGGCGCCAAGGAGCTGGGCAAAATGTTGGTGGACTGTGTGAGTGCACCACTCTCATCTTATCTTATATTTTTGCTCCTGATTCATAACCAAAACGTTCTGCATCATCTGTTTTGTCTTAAATTCAAAACCTGTCTGGATGCGCAGTGTACGGACTCTGATGGCTGCGCCGTGGACCGGGCCAGAGCCTGGTGTGAGATGATCGACACCATCTACCACAGGTCAGCTGATCGTCAACGTGCCACTTTCTTTGCTATATCCTGATTTTTCAGCTTTCTGACACTTCCCTATTTTTTGCCAACATATCAACTAAATCACATCTCTTTTTAAAGGCTTTAGAGACTTCAGAGATGACCAAGTTGAAAAAAGTGTCCTATAAATATTTCTTGTGAAAATTTCCTTTAGGTTTACAGTATCAGTATGAGTTGATTTGTAAAAGTGACCTGAATTAATTGAGCATATGACCGGAAGAAACGTTTCTTTTCAACAGGCATTTTCCCTAAAATCAGACAAAGTTAAAAATTGTTGCATCTAAAATTTGATTGCTCCTGATACTTAAAGGTATAATGCATTCAAACAGGTTTGCCAAGTACTGCAGTAATTAACAAATTTGTGTGTTTTGTTGTGCAGACTGAGCCCCCAGCTGTCTCAGGAGGTGATGCTGGACGAAGTGAGCGACAAGGTTCTGGTGAACATGCTGTGGGAAACGCAGATGTATCTGTTTGAGAAACGGGAAGTGCTCCAATCCCTGGCGAAAACGCTGCTGTGAGGCTGACGGGAGAAAGAGACGACAGAGAGGGGCCACAGATAGAAACCTATGAATATTTAACAAGCTACAAGAACAACCACTATTCTAAAGAGAGACAACGATTCTTGGTGCTTCCTGAAGGCTCTGTGCAAGAACAAACCACTGAAACTTTCGACTGAAATAAGTGTGAAAGGAAGTTTTAAACCTGACAGAAATCTGACACTGAAAGTAACTTGGCATGAATTTATGAAGAGGAGAGACGAGTAGCACTGACCTTATAACTGACTGTGTTTTCTGCTTTCTTCACCAGGTTCACAGTTTTTATATAAACTACTGGAGAAGTTTACATAAAAACTTCCCCAGTATAAAAACTTTCCACAGATGTAAAAACACGTCCCTCTGTTGTAAGTGTTTTTACATCTTACAATGGAGGAAGTGGTTAAAAACAGAATCGGACACAGAAACTGCTGCTTCCTTCTCTTGAAGACAAACAATTTAAGCGACGTTTTCATTTACCCTCACATATTCACACATCCATAAAACCATTCGAGTTAGAGGTTTTGTTTCTAAAGATGGTTACTTTATCGTCTAAAGTAACCACCGGAAACCGCTGGAGGTTATTTTCATTACCCATGTAGGGCAGCTGTGAAGACTCACCAGATCTGACTTACACGTCCGTAATGTTTTCTTTCCACATATCATCCTTTGTATTCATTTATAGGTCATTAATATTGTTGTATTATTTAGACGCACTCCTACACTCCTTACTGCCTATTTCCAAGTGTTTTCTGTCTCCATAATGTGAACTGGAAACTTTTGCAGAGATTTAAATGTAACAGATCATGTGACCTGCTGCTACTTGCAAACATAAAAAAGGCAAATAATGATTTTGTATCGTTTTTTTTTCTTTCTATCACTTATTGAGGTGTTTACTTACATGGTAATAAATTTTATTACTACTGGCATAAGATTTGTTTCTGTTTTTTGTTGCTACAATTTCTGTTTTGTTGTTGTTACAGTTTATTGCAATTTTTTGATCCAGTTCTTAAGAACACGCACACACACACACACACACACACGCAGAAAAAACAACTCATAAAAAGGCGGTTGGCACGACTGCATATTAAATAAATGAATTAGACAAAGACTGATGTTTTAACATCTTTATTTCTCTTAGTCATGATTTTTTTACTCACAGCTAATAAAACATTTAGGATTTCATCAGAATAAAAAATAAACTCTTTAAAAATGTGTGGGTTTTATTAAAAGACTTCCTAAAGGTTATTTTTAAAAATGTACTTTTAATCTGACAAATAAGACTCATCACAATGTGTGTTGTAATTCATTGAATATGAATGTAAATTAAGTATCTAAAATCATGTGAGTGCAGCACAACCAGAATAAAAGGAGAAGGAATTTAAGAGTTCCAGTATTTAACCCAAGTAATTACATCGAGATATGATTGAAATCCCATAGTTCAGGGTTGCTAATGTTGGAAAGATACTTTAAAATAATAATGAAATATGCTAAAAAAAATGAATTCCTTTTTAAGTCTAATATATAAAATTACTTCACACTTTCCCTCCTAAAATAATGCACATTTCTGGACATTTTCTAAATATCTGAAACTCTTATTTTCAATAACTTTACCTAAAAAAGAAAAGTTATATTCCTTTATAACACTAAGAAAACGGCAAACTTAAAAACTACACAAAATGAACTTCTGCAACATGTTGTTGATGCATCAGTTTTGGTTTCAAAATCAGATAAAAAATATTTCCGGATTAGTGGTCAGGCGTGTGATGAGAGCATGTATCAACACAGCATATTGAAATTTGTTTTTATCTTCTTAAAACAAATTTGAAGAAGAAGAAGAAGAAGAAGAAGAAGAAGAAGAAGAAGAAGAAGAAGAAGAAGAAGAAGAAGAAGAAGAAGAAGAAGAAAAAGGAGAAGACATTTTTGCCTTGAAAAGTCTTAGTCACTTTGTTTTTGTGTTGTTAGTGTGACAGAGTTCTAATGAAAAAGTCTCTGGTTTCACTTCCTCAAAAAGGCAGCTTACGTCCAGTAAGTGTTTTCAGTGGTGCACTGGGTCTGACTTTAAGAGTTATTGGGCAAATGCTGACCAGTTCTTAAAAAAAACAAAAAAAAAAAAAAAAAAAAAAAATAGACACAAATGTTCACAAAAGTATAGGTTTAATTCAGTATCTTTGTATCAAAATTGTATGTTTCTGGATGTCCATTTCACACTTGTCTCTCATGTTCAGCCACATCATTACATTCTCAGATCAGATAGAAAAAAACTAAATCCTCTTTGCTGAGCCAACCTCAAGCACATTCAGAACATAACTTTTTAAGTTACATCTCTTTACCTTTATTTAGTCATATTCACTTTTCTTTTAGCAAATGGAACCTACACACGAGGAACACATTTTTAAAATGTTTGCTTTTACACAGCTAAGATTAAATAATTTTAAATAGAAGCAATAAATAGAATGAACTTCTAGCAGTAAAATACTGGGTTACCAAGGTGACAGAAAATAATTGTTCTCCCAGTGTGTGTCTACTGGTTTTATCTTTAAAGCACCTCATGAAAACAGACTCATTAAGGTCAATACTCCACAAGAACAAAGTAGTTCTTTTGCTCAAGTTGGCAAGATTGGGATCACATTCTTTTCTGGCCAGGATGTTTGATACTTCACATAAACTTAAGGGCAGAACTCTTGTTAAAGGGGCAGTTTTATGTATTTTGAGCTTTGCATCATGTTATAATGTTATTCCCTCATCAAAACATACCAGGAGTTTTGCTTTGATTCATTCATGCATGTTTGAGAAATCCTTTAATCTCCATGTCAACCAGCTGTTCAAATCACCTGGGTGGAGTTAGCTCCACGTTCGAGGTCAAAGCTCCTAGCTCCTTCTCTGAGCTGCAGCTTCTGAGCTCCGCCTCACAGTGCAGCCCTGGAACTTCCCCACTCAGCTCCTTCAGACTAGCTACAGGCAATTAGCAAACATCTGGTGGAACATCTGCTGAGCTCATTATACAAGCTACTTCCCAGTGTAATGCTGATAAAGACATTATTAAAGGTTTTACAATGTGAAAGGTTTAATAAAGGAGTGTTGTGATCACTTTATAAAGGTGGAGTTTCGGAAAGAGCAAAGTAAAAGTACAATTTATTTATACAGCACATTTACAACAGTCTCAGCTGACCAAAGTGTTTCACAACAAACAACACCACAGGTAGATAAAAATAGAAAATAAATTTAAGTTTAATAATAAGATAAATATAAAATTGGCAAAGATACCAAAAGCTATCTTTGCAGGAGTTTCTTAAAGAGGTACAGGCCCAGTTTCAAGGCCTTAAATTAAGAAGTCAAATTTATTTTAAGACATTTAATATATAAAGCATTTTTAGAACAACTGAAGGTGACATAGGTACTTGATTGTGCTATAAAATCACAGCATGTGAAAATATATAATACTGCCCCTTTAAGCCCTTAGATAGTAGATATCAGAACAAGTAAGAAATGGGTCAGGGTTAGGAAATCAGATTATGGGTCCAACTGTACAGCCATCAAGGTCAGCATGACTAGATGATATAGCCATTACATATACCTTAAGTGTCGAAGGAGAGCGGCCCTTATCAGACTTAGATCGCCTCTTCTTAGGAGGAGTCAGAGATTGTGGCCTCAGTTCTGCGCTTAGAGTGCCTAAGAGTGGCCACCAGACCAGAAGGCGGAAGGTCATTTACACACATGGGGTGTAACTGGGCCAGTCAAGCCACATTCACCGCATGGGGCATGTAGCTGCAGTTCATCAGTTGTCTGACAGGCTTCAACCAGGTGATCATGCCTGAGGCAGGCAGGGCACAGGACACGACCATCATCTGCCTGAAGCACAGCCCTGCAATCCGAACAACAGTGGGAGCCATTCATGGCCAAAACTGAAGTGAGTCCCAGCACAGGCAGACAGAGCAGACTACAATTGGGAGAGGGGGCGGAAAGCGCTACCATCACCAATTACAGAAAATCCAGCGGACCAATGAGAAGCAGACGTGGTCAGCTATGTCCAGCATGATGAAAAACAGATCAAGATCGGGAGAGGACATTAACGCTGTCAGTAGGGATGAAATAGAACTGAAAACCAGCGATCAGGCCCGAAACCTAGGAGTAGTGATGGACTCTGACCTGAACCTTCAGAGCCACATTAAGACAGTCACAAAGTCGGTCTTCTGTCACCTGAAGAATATCTCCAGGATTAGAGGACTTATGTCTCAGCAGGATCTAGAGAAACTCATCCATGCGTTTATCTTCAGTTGCATTGATTACTGCAACAGCGTCTTCACAGGACTGACTAACAAATCAATCAAACAGCTGCAGCTGATCCAGATGCTGCTGCTGGCGTTCTCACTAAAACCAGGAACATAGAGCACATAACACCAGTTTTAAAGTCCTTCACTGACTCTCTGTAGCTCAGAGAATAGACTTTAAAATACTGTTAGTTTATAAATCACTGAACAGTTTAGCACCACAATACATTAAAGATCTGTTGTTGTTGTGTCAACCGTCCAGACCCCCAAGGTTCTGGTCTGCTCTCCATCCCCAGAACCAGAACCAAACATAAACAAGCAACATTCAGCTTCAATCCACCACAAATCTGGAACAAACTTCCAGAAAACTGTAAAACAGCTGAAACACTGAGTGCCTTCAAATCTAGACTAAAAACCCAGCTAATTAGATTTGCCTCTGAAGTATAATGGACTAAGAATTTAATGATGACACTTGACTTAATGTATTGTTTCGATTGTTGATTCTATGATGCTTGACTATGTGGTTTTATGATGTAAAGCTCTTTGAAATGCCCTGTTGCTGAAATGTGAGGTACAATTTGAATACAGAAACAAACCTTTATGCCTGAAGTGAACACCAGGTTGCAGGCACAAGCAATATATTTTATGTTTGTTTATTAATAACACTGTCATTTTAACCACAATTAAACTTTGTCTTGAAAGTAAAAAAAAAAAAAAAACACAATACATGATTAGACTCACAGTTGTTGGTTGCATCTAGTTGAATCTGAATTTGTGCTTGTTCCTGTTTTGACCACAGAATAGGAGACATGCTCTTGCTCTTGATGGTGCTGGAAGCTGGAGTAAATGGGGTTTATTTTCTCCAAAGCTATCTGGCTGTAATGAAGTTCCTGTTCTGCTGGTTGAGCTGCAATCTCCTCATACATACGACCAGTATTTATCTAAGGAAAAATAAATACAAAATTTTTAATTCAAGTGAGCAAATCTTCACTCTTAAAGTGACATAAAGGTATAGCATTTGGTAACACTTCTGAGTGAAAAGAAACATCTTAATGTTAATAGGATGATATATGGATAAGGAAAGGAGCAGAAAAAACAGGTTTACCTCATCCATATTGTTGACAGGTTCACTTTTAGAAGACTGATGAGAGGGCTTGAATTTCCTGGTTGGTGAAATTGATAAATACATAAATAATGAAGCTGGAGTTCACAGTGAGTAAAATATGTTGATAATTACTAACAGGGCTGTAATAATCACCTATGCAAGAAAACAGCCAAAGGTACCAGGACCAAAAGAAAGACAGAGAGTCCTGCAGCTGCGGATGTCCAGCTGACTGTTGTTGTTGTTGCTGTTCTTCCTCTTAATACAGTCAGAGTCTTTCCAGCTGAGCTGATCGTCTCTACAGTACAGGAGTATTTTCCTTCATCCTGACTGCTAACTGCATCTATAATCAGATGTTTGTTTGGTGTTTTAGTCAGACTCAGAGGCCGACTGTTCAAGTACCAAATGTAGTTTGTGTTTTCACTGAGAGGACAGCTGGTGCTGCAGGTCAAAGTGACTCTCTGACCCTCAGTGACCTCTGCAGCAGGTCGCACATCCACCAGGAGATCTGGAAGACAGTTGGACTAATCAGTGAACAGATGAGTAACATTTAGTCAGTGGTTCTATGAAAATAGACTCAAGAGATGTAACAAAATTGTAGTTTAGTAATTTTATTATGAATTACCTCCAGCTACAGGATGGGTTATTTTCATATTTAAGATATGAAATGTTAATTAAATGTACAAACGTTATGTTTAGCTAAACATAAAAATTCCAGACTTAGATTTTAAATTTTGTAACATGAACATTTTCACAATGGAGTGTAAGAACAACACATTTAGATGGGAAACAATTACATAAAAAAAATCATCATATTTACCTGTTACTATCAGAGTAACTCCAGGAAATTCAATTGATTTCCGTTTCCGTTGCTGTGTTTTCATTCTGAACTCGTATTCTCCTGAGTTTTTCTCCTCCAGATTGTTTAATCTGAGGATGTGTTGGTTCCTCATGTCATCCTGATAATTCACATCTCCTTTATTCTCCATCAGTTCTTCTTCTTCCAGCTTTGTATTTATCTTCACTTTATACCAGCGTTTAGTCTGTGGCTGCTCGTGTTCAGGATGTGAGTATTTGCTGGAGATGTTCACTGATGAACCTTTCAGGCCACATATTCTCCTGCTGTCATAACTCACACTCCAGCAG